GGACCACTTGTTTTAGAACTGAAGAGAGGTGAAACGTTCACAAACCAGTCCAGTCGGCTTCTTTTATTAAGCTCTCAAGACTATCATGACGTGGATGGCTGTGCTGGCGCGCTTGATACAGTCAAACATTGCTAATGTCATTTCACGCGTAGGACTTGTGTTTCCTTTTACTAAAATCACAGTGCAAGGGAGTTTGTTTGTAAAGTGCAGTACACAATGTACAGTGTACTAAAAGAAGACACAGTATAACATGTTAAACTCTTTCTCAGTTGGTGAATAACGGTCCCAGTGTGGTGAGCCAGACATCTTTAGTGGTGAAATGTCCCCTGAAGGCTCATGGTCACTGGCTGCTCTACCCTCTGGAGGTGGTCACTGAGGGTCCACTCAGCTGCTTCTCCAAAACAACCTTAAATGCACTGAAACTTAAGGTGAGGACACACAATTAAATGCACACTTACAGCTTTGTTGTCATGGTGACGTTATTACCCTTAGTCTATTCTTGACTGTGAACACTGGCTTGTGTTTGCTAATGACTCCTAATGTATTTATGTTTACAGCTTCAGCCTGGGGCAGTAGAGGGTCCAGCATCACTGAAGTCCAATGTTGAGCACCGCATCCAGAAGAGGGAGGTGCACAGAGATCCTCTGGCTGAACAAGGAAACCTGGTGAGACATTACAGAATATAGAAATTCAACCTGTGAAGGAGTTTTACAGAGAACATGTACTGTTCTTTGATTAACAAATTGAAATGCTTGATTACAGATTCTAGCAGCAGCTAACTCAGCTTAAAGCCATCAGGAGCTAAGCTGAGTCTGACATCTCTGTGCACTACATGCCAAACCTTCACTGTAGCACCATAACCTATGTATAGCCTAGCTTAGCACAAACACACACAGCAGGGTAAGTTTGTAGCAAACCTAGCTAAATTCAAGTTTAAACTGAATATCCAACTGTATTCCTTCTTCTGCAACCTTGTGACAACATTTGCACCTCATCGGTGGACGTCATGTGTCCCTTAAAGACACGGGTCATGTTTGTCTCTGTCCTCAGTGTCTGACACGTGGGTGGAGAGTAGTGGCGAGATTAGCTTGCAGATCCCAAACACTTTAAAACATAAGCTCTTTTGTTGGGTGTCGAGTCTCTCTGAGTTTCTACAGGACTGTGTTTACTGAAGTGTTCAGTGGTATTTACACATGTATGCAATGCACTGAAACCAAAAGATGCAAATGAGACTGCAGAAAGGAGTAGCTCTGCCTTTTCTTGTTCTGATTCGATTGTTTGTTTCAACAGAGGAAATGGAAATAGAGATGATGAGCTCTGGTCAACATCAACAGCTGCTTGCTGTAATTGTTTGTGAGAAGAAGTTAATTACGTTTGTGATTTACTGAGTTATTTTTGTGCGGCTGACATTTGACAGCTCATCTCTAATGGCACTCGGATGAAACCAAACAACCTTAGCACACAGAAATGTTTCGAATAAACCGCGCTGCACAGTGGGAATTCTAAAAACTAAAGTATTTTTAGTATTAATGAATTGGTGCTAACTTAATAGAAGTTCACAGGTCAGTGTGAACAACAGTTACACACTTCCAGAAGAAAGTTAGGGCTGCAGAATACTGTACATGTGCATTGTTGGGTTATTTTTAAGAGATAAAAAGCTTTAATTTTGATAACTTGTAGCTTCACTGACTTGCTGTGGTATGTGACAGTCACTAGTTTTGTTTCCATCATATCACACAGTCTGCCATGCAATGCACGATTGTTGTAGGCAATTCAATTCAATTCAATTCAATTTTATTTATATAGCGCCAAATCACAACATAAGTCACCTCAAGGCGCTTCATAGATACAGAGAAAAACCCAACAATCATATGACCCCCTATGAGCAAGCACTTTGGC